GCTGCTGCTGAAACTGACCAGCAGCGGCTGAATCGGGGATGCCTGGGGCAGAGCCGGACTATTGGAAGGGGGAGCTATGAGGAGTCTGGGGCGGCATCCCCCCACCCCATCCCGGACCCCTCATAGTCCCCTCTTCCAATAGTCCGGCATATCTGATAATCTGGCACCCCCTGGGTCCTAAAGGTGCCGGATTATTGGAAGTTTACTGTACTGAGAAGTGCCATCTTTAGATGTCTCTGTCTGAATAATGCCACCTGCCACTCATGCTGTATACCAAGTGATGGGCTAGCTTGATGTGGAGAGGTGGTGATGAGGAATCAGCATAGGAAGGCTTTAAAGAAAAGCTGTGTTTCCAGGAGGGATTTGGATTTAGAATGGTAGGTCATTTAGTGTGAGCAGGAGGCTGGGCCAAGCGGAAGGTGCACTGGTGGGGAAAAAAGGAATGAAGAGATGGAGGAGGCTGTGAACTGTATATTAAGAGTGGCTTGGAAAAACCCAGGCAGCTGAGGAGCAGGACAAAATGAAAGCAGGAATTTATGCACAGGTATTGGATTGCTGTTACAGAGTTGCTCGTGAATGCTGGGCTGCTGCTCCAGACAGAACATAGTGGACCTGTCATGGTTCCACTGCCGAAACTGTTCCCTATAAGGGCTGCCTCCTGTGGTGCCTTGCATCTAGTGTGGCCCTGGACACCTGTGCTATGTGGATGTGCCACTGGGCAGCGTTTCATACTTTGTATCAGGTGCAAAGGAGTGAATAATCTGCCCAAGAGAGTGCACAGCCCTGTGTGCATTATGGAGCCAAGTTTGGCAGCATCCGACTTCACAGAACACAAATTTTCAAACTTTAAAGAGGTTTGTACAGGCTGGAAGCCTTCATCAAAGGCAGGAGGCTTGTATTGCGACATCTGAGGACTAGACTTGCTGTAATATAAACTGCTGTGACATTTTAATAAAATGAAGGCAAAAGCTCCAACAATAATGTAATGAGGAAGAGGATGAGAAAGCTCAGTTCTCCAAAGTTCATGGTCATTCTACAAAATGCCTCCAGATAATGCTGTAACATCCCTTGCCCCTTTCAGGAGCATACAGAAGATGACGTGTTTAACACTAGTGTTCTCTTATGGAGTAATACAGTAGACTTTCGATAATCCGGCACCTTTTGGATCTAGGTGGTGCCAGATTATCAGATTTGCCAGAGAATCAGGAGGTCCAGTACAGCTGCACATCTTAACAGCTGGCCAGGACAAGATCTCCCTCTCTCCCCTCCCCTTTCCTCTTCGCATCTCTTCCATGCTGTGACCTGATCCTCCTCCCTCTCCCTTCCCCTTTCCTCTTCCCCTCTCTCTCCTTCCTGCTGTAACCTGATCCTCCTCCTCCTCCCCTCCCCTTTCGCCTTCGCTGAAGCAAAACGCTCTTCTCCATACTATAACAGGATCCCACTCCCTCCCGCCCTCCCCCAACCTTATGCTCCCTCTGGTTACAGCCAGCGCGTGTGCTAAGCGGCAGGCTTTTTAATCAGCTGGTCAGGAGCGCTTGGCATTTTGATGCCAGCGTATCAGGAGTGCCGAACAGTTGGATGCCGGACTATCGGAGTTTTACTGTACTGTGCTTTGCTTATAACTTTCAATAGGCTATCTAGCATCCTTGATCAAGGGTTGCATTCCCCTGGATGTCAATCACGGCTGCCCACACACACCTTGAGCAGTATTTTGCCTGAAGTCTGAGTCATTATGATACATACATCAAACTTTCTGACATCAGAAACAAAGGAGACAAAACTCAAGTGTTTCGGAAATTCATATTCCTGTAAAGGTTCTTAAAATAAAAACATCATATGCAGAGTGAAAGGAATATTTATTTCAACAACTGCTGTTTTTCAATGCCACATATTTAAGTGTGATTTTTAACAAATTTCAGCAAGACAAAGTTATACTTTCAACAGATGCTATTCAATGTATACTGTATTTTGTCAAATCCTATTTCATGCTGTAAATATGGCCCTTAACTAGTTTCTGTAGTCCTGAAAGCTGTAATTACACAGGATTGTATAGTAGATGTTTGCATGCATTAGTGTTGCAAGGTACTGTAAGCATTATTTGGGAATAGTGGCCATTTAAAGTCAGGGCCTGGAAAGTCCTATGTTTATATGGCATGCATTGGACTTGTTTGATATATTAAAAATTATATCCACTTACCTGGATGTTAGGAATGCATATTTATTTTGTCCAATAATCAACTGGGATTTTGTGCTGCAATTTATGGTGTAATTATATGATGCATGTTGCCTAACTGGTACAGGAAATGTGGCAGAGTATTGTCATTTAGGAGCTACTTCCCTAAACATCAGAACAAATGTTTTTGACCACTGGATGACACTGTAAGTGTGGCAAGCCGTTGCAGGTTCTGTTTCAGAGTTTAGTCTGATATCATTGCTTCAGACACTCATCTTCATATTCTGGATTAAAGTCTGCTGTGCCGAGTTTGGACTCGGACTTGGTGAGAAGGGAAGAGGGTGAAAAGGAACCACTTTGTTTCCGTAATTTTGGGTCAGCTGAAATGGCCTCTGGGATAATTTAGAGTAACTTTAGAGCTTCTGCATTGCACTGACTGCTTTGCTGAATCAGAACCATAGTTCAGAACAATGAAGGAAGAATTTGCATACAGACTCCTGCCATATGTATGTAAGAAGAAATGGTACAACATTTTGTGATGATCTAGTATTTAATATTAAACAGTCCAGATGCACAGTATTAGTCATAAAGTATTTGAAAACATGATCACTGAGGAGGAAAAAGAACAGTTCATAGTGGTACAAGGAGACATGTAATTGAGAGTAGTAGGGTAGAATTGGACAATAGAAAATATAGGCTGATGATCAGGAAAAATCTCTAAGAATGAGGACTGTGGAATAGGCTTCCTAAGGAGATAGTTATATACCTCAGCCTCTCGGATACTCATAGACTCATAGACTTTAAGGTCAGAAGGGACCATTTTGATCATCTAGTCTGACCCCCTGCACAATTCAGGCCACAGAATCTCACCCACCCACTGCTAGAATAATCCTCTCACCTATATCTCAGATATTGAAGTCCTCGAAACAATGGTTCAAAGACCCCTAGATGCAGAGAATCCTCCCGCTAGTGACCCGTGCCCCATGCTACAGAGGAAGGCAAAAAACCTCCAGGGCCTCTGCCAATCTACCCTGGAGGAAAATTCCTTCCCGACCCCAAATATGGCGATAAGCTGAACCCTGAGCATGTGGGCAAGACTCACGAGCCAGACACCCAGAAAAAAGTTCTCTATAGCAACTCCTGTCTTCCCACCATGCTCATGGTATAAAGTTGTAGTCAGACATATAAGGAATGTTGGAAATCCTATTGCGTGTGTTATTTAAAACTGTGCTAAACTAAGCACTCAGTGGAATACTAGGAAACAGTCTTGTACAGTCAGGAGGCATCCTCTCTCTCTCTCTCTTTTTTTTTACATCTTTTCTTCTAGGATTCACTGCTTTTTTTCTTTAATGGCCCCCTCTGATTCTGCCTAAATTTCTTGTCTCCTTTTTTACAGTGGTTAAAATCTTCCAACACTCCTAAGTTTAGGTTCCAGAGTCCCATTTTCAAAAGTGACTTTGACACTAAGAAGTCTGAGTCTTATTGAAAGTTAATAATCTGAAGCAGATGACAAATAAAAACTGTTTTGCTAGTTTTTTTTTTTTTAAGAAACCTTTTACTTTCTGTTCCCTCCTAACTCCCTGGCATGAATATAGCAAAAAGGGAGAAATAGATCATATAGAAACACACTTAGTATCAAAATAGATGTGGCAGCTTGAGCATGATTTTATACTGTCCACTTCAACCATCCATGGAATCAATACAAAAAATGCTGGATCAGATCACTAGAAAACTGTAAATTTTACTGTTTTGATCTGTGAAACAATATTTCTTGTAAAGACCACATTGTGCTGTTGGTTGTTTTCTTTCATGCTGTATTATGACTTCAAAGCAATAGGGAGCAATGCTTAAAAAATTAATAGCATGATATGGCCCAGTGATTTTAGAGTAACAGCAAACATGAACTTAGAATCCCCTTTCCTTATAGAAAGCTTTAAAAAGGCTGTATCTGGATTTCGTGTCTTATGTTTTCAAATGTGTCCACTTCTTTTAATCCAATAGAGCACTGAACAAATCTCTACATTGTGTCAGAATTTTCTTGAAGTCCAGGCAAACGGTATGGAAGGACAAAAGGACAGCCAAGATCTTCCCCTGAGACCACTGGGACGACCTCTGTCTGATGCTGATAGGTTGAGAAAGGTCATCCAAGAACTTATGGACACTGAAAAATCATATGTCAAGGTAAAAGAGAAAGCTTCCTGATTAGCTATAGTCTTCCTGTTGAACTTTACAATGTTTTGCATGTGATACTTGTACATTTTCAGGCTTATCTGTTTATTAGCCGACTACTAAAAGTGCCTGCTTGTGATGGGGTACTATGGTGTTGAGGCACGTCCTCAGGCTGGCAGACTGAGGAAGCTCTCTGAGGAGTGATCTCAAGGGGTTGCACTGAATAATATGGAATAAGGAGCCGTGGACTGACAGATACCTTGGAGAAGGGAAACTCTTGATTGCAAACAGGGACAGAAAGAGCTTACTACGCCTTTTAGGCACATCTGTCTAGGAGAAGGCAACTTGTATGCTCTCCCTCCAGTGCACATGTTGCAGATCCTGTGTCTTTGTATGACGGTTAGTATGAGAAGAGAGAGTGGGATCAGAACTCACAAGCCAGCCTCATTTAAATCTATTCATATGCAAAGGTATATCTCATTAACAAGAGGTCAGTCTTTAGCATCAAGAAAGCCCTACAGCGATGAGGATGTGACGTTGGATGCAGGTGGAAGATGCATCCAAAACAAGCGAGATTTGGCTTTGCCATCAGGACATCACTAGTCCTCCAGCTTGAATCCCAGCCACGTTATCAGTCCTCACCTTGTGACTGCAAAGCTTAGACAGAGGCAGGGAAAGTGGCTTGTACTTGTCAGTGAATATGCATCCACTGTGCCTGCTGAAGATGATGAAAAGGAGGCTTTCTACAATAGCCTGAATTCAGTGATCTCTGCAGTACCTTTTAAATCGAAGCTGTACATACTTTACGATTTTAATGCTAGAGGTGGTCAGGACTGCACCACAGGTTTAAAGGTGCTTGGACATCATAGTATTGTGAATGAGTCCTCAAAGGATACCTTCCTCCTTCAAACTTGTGGACTGGATTAACATTAAGGAAACAACCTACAAACCTGCTGTCAGAATACTAGGTTTCAAAAATGCAAACACAAGGACTGGTTTGATGATAAGGACAAAGATGCTTAAGATCTTCTTGATAAGATGCATGTGACACACCTATCCTGCATCAACAATAAAGAGAATGCCTCTAGGAAATCCGTATACATTCAAGCTAAGCAGAAGGCACAAGTCAGATTATGGCAAATGAAAGAGGACTGGTGGAAATGTAAAGCAGTCAAACTTATAGATGCAGCTGATAGATGTGATTTTTAAAGCATTCTATGGGCTGAAGGAAGTCTCTGAGCTGTGGATTGACACCAGCGTGCTCTGTTGATGGCAGCACTCTGATTACAGATAGTCCTCAAATCCTTGACCGCTGGGCTGAACATGTATTCAACCAGACATCAACTTTTGACAGAGATTCCTTAGGGGGCTAATGACTCTCAGCTGTTATACCGCCAACTCTTGATGAGGAACAAAAAGCTGTCAGGCAGATGAAATCTGGGAAGGCACCTGGCAGAGACACTATTCCATCAGAGAGTTAGAAAGCTGGTGGTGGCCATCTGATATGCCATGTCACCCATTTATATATCACCATTTGGGAGAAAGAGAGTAAGTCCCCCATGGACTTCAAAGATGTCCTAATTGTACGCATATACAAGAGAAGTGATTGTGCATGCTGTAATGACCACTAGGGCATCTCACTGCTGTCTTTAGCTGGTAAGATCCTGGCCTACATCCTCTACAACTGGCTATTATATGTGTTCACAAATGGCATAATTCCTGAACGTCAGTGTGGACTTTCAGGGCACGTCTAAACTACTTTTTTTTTTTTTCAAAAGAAGATATGCAAATTCCATCGGATCTTTCAAAAGTGAAAGTAGTCTGGACATGTTCTTTTTTTGGGAAAAAACCCTTTTTCGAAAAAAAACGCATAAACCTCCTTTTTTAAGGAAGAGCCATTTTTTCGAAAAAGGGTTTTTTTTCCTGAAAAAAAAAGCCGTATCGACTACTTTCACTTTTGAAAGATTCTCTTTCGAAATTGAGATTGGAAGAAGATATGCAAATTCCCACAGAATTTGCATATCCTCTTTCAAAAAATTCTACATAGTCTAGACTTAGCCTTAGTACTGGTCAAGGCATTGCCAACATGATATTCACAACCAAGCCAATCCAAGAAAAATGTAGAGAGCAACATCAGGATCTTTAGATGATTTTCATCAACCTGACCAAGGCATTTGACACGGTCAACAGAAACAGGCTTTGGACAGTACTTGAGCTAATTGGCTGTCTTGAAAAATGTTTCAATATAGTTTGGTCCTTTCATGATGGTATATTGGGTCACATCCCTAACAATGGACAGACATCAGCACCTTTTGAAGTATCAAATGGCACAAAGCAAGGACGTGTCCTTGCTCCTCCTATTCAACAACTACTTTTAGATTATGCTGTTACAGGTTGTATCTCCCTAAACTGGGACTCCCCGGTCTGGCAACCCCCATAGAGCCCTGGCTGGGAGTCCAGTGGCAGCATATGGGCATCTGTCAGCCCGAACAAGGGCTGAGAGCCTACAGAGAGCCCCATGGCCTCCCCAGGCAGGGAGCGCCATAGCAGCAGTGGCCAGAGCTGGCTGCCCAGCTGAGCCAGAAGCAGTGGGGCTGGTTGGGCTAAAAGTGGAGCCAGCAGTGGGAAAGGTTGGCAGGCTGGGGGGCCAGTGGCAAGGGACCTCCCCTGGTCTGGAAAATTCCCTCATTTGAAACTGGTCAGGTCCTAAGAGATCCAACCTGTAGTTGCTTTCAAGGATTGTGCATACCTATTCAGTTCAGAACTGACAGTAGCATTTGCAATCTCCAAAGATTTCAGGCTTGCACCAAAGTATTGACTATAACTATCCATAACCTCCTGTTTACTGGTGACTGTGCATTGGTGACTTATTCAGTCCAGGATGCACTGGAGCTTTTTGATCACTTTGCTACTTCTCACCAATTTGGACTCACTTTGAGCCTCAAGAAGACAAAGGTTATATCCCAGTCTGTGTGGAAGGAGCCCAGCTGATACTGTTCTTAAGGCTTTTGATAAATTTTGCTACCATGAAAGCATACTGTCCTTCAGTATAAATGCTGCTGCTGATGTATCGACTAGTCAAAGCCAGCACTGCCTTCAGAAGATTGACCAAGTGCTTATGGAATGTCCATGGTGTTAAACGTCACACAAAGGTAACAGTTAATCAGGCAGTTGCCCTGAATATCCTGCTATATGGCTTGGAGTCAAGGACCATATTGACACCATGTTTTGAAACTCGATCCGTTCCATGTACGTCACCTCAGAAAGATTGTCCATGTGAGTCTGTGGGACAAAATTCCTAACACAGTGGTCCTTAAGCTGTGTGGTGTGATGAGTGTGGAAGCAATGCTTATTAAACAAACTGTTTCACAGGATTGGTCATGTTATGAGGACACACCGATACCAAAGATGATCTACTATGGCCTACTTGTTCCTGAAAATCCCTCTATTGGTGGTCAGCATGAGTGTTATAAAGATATCTTAAAGGCAAACATGAACTCCTGTGGCATAATCTCCTGGTGACCTGGAAATCATAGCTCAAGACAGATTGTTCTGGTAGCAAACTAAGGTACAGACTCTCAGATGCTTTAAGAGTCAACGTTTCCAGACATTACAAGAAAAGAAAGAGTACATCTGGAATCAGATTTGCTGATCAAGGATTGGATTAGTCACTCACCAAAGTCATCACAGAAGACGAGTCCCATCAACTGATGGCTCAGACTGTACCATACCACAAAAGGGCCTGAACCTATATTGCTCATTCTCCTGAATATTCATATAATCTTCAATGGACTTAACTTTTGTGAGTAAAGGCTGCAGGATTGGGCCCAACATTTTAGATCCCTGTGAAGTTTGAGATACAGTCCTTTATATGGGGAAAAAGGGGTATGAGGACATTCATTTGCAGAGGGCATCTACGATACCTGAGGATTCCATTCATTCAGTCGGGTCATCCTGTGGATTTTTCCACACTTCTTCAGAATTTAAGCTTTTTTTTTTTTTTTTTTTTTTTTTTTAAGACAACACTTTTCTGGCTCTTTGAAGAATATCTTTACTATGGAACCTAATGCACTGGTCAATTCATGATTAAAACACACAATGCATAATTTCAGCTGTTTCTAGTATTAATAATTTGTTTACTTAGTAAAGAAGGTCAAACTTTTTTCTGAATGCAAGCTAATTAAGTCTGGATTACAAAAGCAGTCACTTCCTGTTGTTGAGTGCTGTAGCAGTCCCACCCTCTACCCTGCTAATGAGAGACTCCTTGCCCTTTTCACCCATGGCATTTGAGAGACGTGTTGCCTGAATCTAAACTAAAAATAGTTTTTAGTGTTGCAAAAAAGTGAATTGTTTCTCGGTTTTTCCTTTTTGACCATCATTTTTATTATATACCATGATTTTAAATGTAACATGGGTATGAGTTGTTATATAAAGCTGAGCAAAATCTTTATTTCCTGTAGGATTTGAGCTGCCTTTTTGAATTATACTTGGAACCCCTTCAGAATGAGACCTTTCTTACCCAAGATGAGGTGAGATAATAGTTAACAATGTTTTCTTCATTCTTTTTTATTCTCTGTAAAATCACTTGACATTTGGGCTTTTCCATTGCTGAGAAGCCTGACAGCAAATAATAGAGCACACACCATTGTGTTTTTCTATTTAGCATATAAGATCTTTTGTAATGGTAATCCTTCTCCTGACTAAAAAATACTTGGGCTTTTTAACCACTTTGTCCTTGTGGATTCGTTTCCAAAACTATTAAGAAAAGAAACAAACAAAAAAACCCAACAAAAGAAAAAAAACACATTGACTTGTGATAGAAATGTAGCCGGGTTAGTCTGGTGTAGCTGAAGCAAAATACAGGACTATGTCGCACTTTAAAGACTAACAGGATTGTTTATTAGATGATGAGCTTTCGTGGGCCAGACCCACTTCCTCAGATCAAATAGTGGAAGAAAATAGTCACAACCATATATACCAAAGGATACAATTTTAAAAAAATGAACACACATGAAAAAGACAAATCACATTTCAGAACAGAACGGGGATGGGGGGGGAGGAGGAAGTTAAATGTCTGTGAGCTAATGATATTAGAGGTGATAATTGGGGAAGCTATCTTTGTAATGGGTAAGATAACTAGAGTGTTTGTTGAGACCCCTACATAAAGTGTCGAATTTTAGCATGAATGACAGTTCAGAGGATTCCCTTTCAAGTGCAGATTTCAAAGGTTTTTGAAGCAGAATGCAGGTAATTAAGTCGTTGAGACAATGTCCTTTCTGGTTGAAATGGCAAGAAACTGTTTTTTCTTTGTGATCCTGTCTAATATCTGTTTTGTGGGCATTGATCCTTTGGCGAAGTGTCTGAGATTTTTGTCCAATGTACATAGCATACGGACACTTTCGGCACATGATAGCATAGATTATATTTCTGGATGCGCAGGAATATGTGTTCTTGATCTTATAACTCACTTGGTTAGGTCCAATAATGGTATCAGCAGAATAAATATGTGGACAAAGCTGGCAACGGGGTTTGTTGCAAGGGAAGGTACCAGGGTTGGTATTAGTGTGGTATGTCCTGTGGTTGTTGGTAAGAATCATCTTGAGGTTAGGTAGTTGACTTGTGGCACTCCTTTGTTTATAGCCCCTTAATGGATTGTCTCCTCATAGCATCCATTAAAGTTGGATGCTTCATGTCTGCCATGTTTGATTTTCACACAGATGGAGTCATTGTTTGGCAGTCTGCCAGAAATGTTGGATTTCCAGAGGGTGTTTTTGGAGACTCTAGAAGATGGAATTTCTGCCTCCTCAGATTTTAACACACTGGAAACCCCATCCCAGTTTCGGGTAAACATGTGGTCTTTTAACTCATTGTAATGTGTCTGGAAGTTTGTGCAGAGTTCTGGTGTTGAGGTTTATTCTCTCTCTCTTATTACAACTACTGATTCCCCCTCCGCCTTTGGATTGTTCTATGAAACGTTGCAAAGAGGGCAGATAATTACAGTATTAAATTTCTATTTTGTATGCATTTCATTAGCTTATTTCCCAAAGATCCATACTAAATAGGGAAAGTTCAATTTACTTTTTTAAAAAAGTCCTTGTTTTTCTTTTTTTTAAAAGTGAATTCAATGCTCATGAAATATGTATCATATTGCCAGCAATAGAGACTGAATTTCTCTATGATGAACAGCTCTGCTCCCCTGATGGACCTTCATTCCTGACATGGAAGGACCATCTGTATGACTAAAAGGAGAGTTGGTGTCCGTATCTTTGCAATACTTGGTCTTGTGCTGATACTGCCAGATGAAGTGGATGTTATGGTGATGTCCGCAGGGAGCTGGCTGAAACCATTCATTCACTGTAGGCCCCTGAACAATTGTCAGGCAGGAACAACTTTTACTTATGGACCTGAATTGGAATTTAATTTATAACCTAAAGCCAAAAGGCTCCATAGTCTACTACAACCCTCTCATTTATATACAGTCATACTTTAGAGAGGCTATGCTTGTTTTTTGAACACCTACTCTTTGGATAAGTGCATTTCAACCACCTTTTTCAGTTGTAAACTGAGCACATTTATAGGGAAGCCAGTGAAACAAAACAAATATAAAATCTCCCAAGACCATCTGGCTTTTCAGAATAGAACCATGTTCTGGTATGCAGAGACTTCAGTTGTCAATGTAGGTATTTGGTTATATGTAGAGAATATACCGTTTCAAACATGGTTCGGAACAGCAGCTGCCCGAGCTTGAAAATGGGACCACAATACTAAAAAGCAAGCTAAATCACTCCATAGCCTTTAATTAAGATGTTAACCAATATATGTATTTATTTCATTTATTATCTTGGTTTCAGAAACTGCTATTTTCACTTGGAGGCTCTTTCCTGTATTATGCTGACCACTTCAAACTGTACAGTGGATTCTGTGCAAACCACATAAAAGTTCAGAAAGTCCTTGAGAGAGGTAATTAATTGATATAATTCCTCTGCATGACGTTAACTTCACATAAATCACTATCACAAGTTTTATCAATTTAAGGCTTGTGCCCCATGAGAATTCTAATATTAATAAAGGAGAAGTGGGAGGTCTTTTAATGTGAGTATCTGTGATCTGTCCTTGTGAGATAACGTAATAATGATCTAATGCAATATCAGAAGTTTTCTTCTGCAAGTAACACCTCCAGACTAGCTCGAATAGCAACAGAAGCTTTTTCCATAAGGCAGTGCTATCTACAGATTCAGTTCACGCTTAAAAAAACAGCAGCTTTTAGATCTATATTTGGGTGTGCACGCAATATATGAAGTTGTGTGTCAGTCAAAGCTGAAGAGGGGTGAGATGAAAGTGATAAAGTAGTTCTTTCACACTGAGATCTTAGTGTTTTGTTGCTTTAGAGCAGGCCAAATTTACAGTACATTGAGTTATGCCCAGTTGCTCACTTAGCAACTATTAGTTCTATGATATGTTACTTATAATTATTAGGCTATTAAAATCTACCATTAATTTGTCATTTTCTGCATTAAGCATTGTTTGAAATGCATATGAAAAGTTTTTTTTTTTTTTTTTTTAATGGAAGCATACTGTTCTCAATTTAGCCTCTGTGACTTGTCCATTGAACTGACCATCTATCCTTTCTATATTTAGCCAAAACAGATAAAGCTTTTAAGGCCTTTCTGGATGAACGGAACCCCACGAAACAGCATTCGTCTACTCTGGAGTCGTACCTCATCAAGCCTGTCCAGAGAGTGCTGAAGTACCCTTTGCTCCTGAAGGAGCTGGTGTCCCTGACAGATAATGAGAGTGAGGAGCATTATCACCTGACAGGTATCGATATTTGTTCTTCTATGGGGACTACAGAAAGTTTCAGTTTAATTTCAAGCCTTATTAAAATGTACAACTGCAGCACACTACCAGAATTTCTGTGATACTGGAACATTTTCTCAAATCCTAGAGAGAATCATACTTTCTTGCCTTTAAAAAAACACAGTAATTAAGAATAAGCTCTGTTATCAGAATTTTCTTGGAAATTAGATGTTGGAGAGTCTTTTAAAAAAATGGCCAAGAGCTGCTGTCATGGATGGAACTAAGCTTCCCACTCTGTATTATTCTTGAAACAAAATCATGACAGCTCAGTGTTTTTGTTTTAAATGATAAGAAATGGTGAAGAAAGCTCCATCTTGTGGTTATTATTCACTGTCGAAACATGTTAAAAATGCTCAGCCAAATCAATGAGTGAAAATTGCCTGTAACCCTCATTCTTGCAGAGATGGAGTTTACGACTTGCACTCTTCTCTTTTAGAAAGGAACAGACCTTTTGTTTTAAAGAAAATAGGGTTGACTATTTTCCTAGGACCTAGTCCTCCAGCCTTCGCACAAGCAAAACAACTATTTCATTCTGTATTTGAATTGTAAATTACTTTCTAGTATAAGTGAGAGTATGTCTACACTACAGAGGGGTGATTTTTTGTTGTTGTTTTTTTAAACGGCCATTTTTCTGAAAACATTTCAATTATGTCCACACTGCAATCGCATTCTTTTGAAAGAACAGAGGGGTTTTTCCTGCATTGGTAATCCTCATTCTATGAGGAAAAAGCCTTTTTGCGAAAGAGCTCTTTTTTGCAAAAAGGCGTGTGTGGATGGGGAAGAGGGAGTTCTTTCGGAAGAAGAGGAAAATCACAGGTGCCCTGGTGGCCATTCCGTCCATAGTAATCACAGCTTACATGCGAGAGAGCGTCCATTCAGTGCGGACCCTCTCTTTTGAAAAAACAGATTGCTTTTTCAATGCACTTTTGCAGTGTGGATGCTCCCCTTTGGAAGAAGTTTTTTCAGAAGATCTCTTCTGGAAATGCTCATTTCGAAAGAAGCCTGCAGTCTAGACGTAGCCTGAGAAATATGAAGTTAACATTGAAGCAACAGTCTTATCACATATGGTCAGTTTTTCAGGTGCCAGTGGTAAAAATGTCCTTCAACTTCAAATGGAGCTGTATAGAGCCTCTAATATTATTTTTGAAGGATTCAGAATAGATGCTAAGTAAATACAGGTGTCAGCAAACCTGAACACATTAAAAAAATAAAGTGTAACATGCAGTTGTGCCAAAAACCCCAAGAGCTGGGGAAACTCTTATACAAGAAAATAGTTCTTCCGCATCAAAAACAATCTTGAGATGAGTTGCTTGTGGAGTAAACTTGACACTGGAATATGTAAAGAATGGTCATTTGGCAGGGTGTGAGGAAGCAAACCTCACTTCTCTAATCCCTTTGTGTCTGACTGCAAAATCCAGCTGAAATTCAAAGCTTTTCTTGTAGTATTTTTTTAAAAAGATGGTCTATAGAATTTAACTTCATGAATGTTTTCCCAAGATACAATATGCAGAGCCTGGGTGGCCACAACTGTAATTCCTTAAGTCTTCCTGTGCAAAGCCAAACCCTACTCTTTCAAAAAAATTGTAAAACTCATGAAAACAGCATATGTTAGCGTGTCTATAGTCACACTGATGCTCCTGTTCATTGATTCTTGTTTATGTTAATAGTGCCACAGCTACCATCAGATTGAAGTTTTATATAATTTATAGCTTTTATTTTACTAAAATATGTATTTTAGTCTTTGGGAATACTTAAAACACCCATTAAGAAGTTCACTGAATATGCTGATCAGCAAGTATGGAGCCCATATTTACTATGACTAAGTAAAGTAACTGATCTATTCATAATGATTATTGGCCATGGACCATTATGGCTTGAGACCTTGAATAATTGGGACCCTGAGTAAAAATCTCTCACAGGCTTTCATAAAAAAATCATGTCTTTATAATATGAAATTGAATTATTAGTCTGTTAAATGGTGGATTTTGTTTAAAAACCTCAGAAGCACTGAAGGCAATGGAAAAAGTAGCCAGTCATATCAATGAAATGCAGAAGATATATGAGGACTATGGTGCTGTGTTTGACCAACTGGTTGCAGATCAAAGTGGAACAGAGAAGGAGGTAAGAGGAAAAAATGGAACATTATATTATTCACGTCAGGTGTAGTCCTCTAAGACACTGTATATTCTTAACTCTGTTTTCTACCTGTCCCATCAAATTTCTTTCTTTCCTTCTCAAAGAGCTTGTCAAAAACAAAACTGTAAGTGCATGGCAAGTTGCGATGTAAATCTACATCACAATAACCTACCACATACTATGTGTCCCTGTAGACCCTAGTGATGTGCACTAAAAACGGTCATTTCAAAGTGCACTGGATACTTTGTGCATGGCAAGCCAGATGCAAGGTAGATTTACACCCCATTCTGCAAGCTGAGTGTTCATATAGGCAGACCTCAGCAAGTACTGTCATGTTTACAGACGGCTGGCAAATCTTCTATAGGTCTGCTCTGAAGGGCCATTGGGAACAGACAGTCACTAAATCACAGGAAGAAAACAATGAAGAGTGGTTCTCAACCTTTCCACACCATTGTGTCCTGATTTATCTTGCGTACCCTTAATTTTCATCCCCTTGTAAACTACTTGCTTAATAAAGCAAACGTAAAAATCACAATGTTATGGCACATTATTCATGAAAACTTGCTTGCTTTCTCATTTTTATCATATAAAGTAAATTGGAATTTATTGTACTTACATTTCAGTGCAAAATAGAGCACTATAAACAAGTCATTGAATGAAATTTTAGTTTGTATTGACTTCAGTAGTGCTTAGATGAGTTGATGCACCCCCTTTCCCCCAGGAGGGACCTCTGCATACCCTCACGGATACATGTACCCCTGATAGATAACCTACAACAGTGGTTCTCAATGTCCAAAAACTCGAGTTCAAATTTTAGGCATGAGAGCTTAGATTTCAGAAACTGGAATCCTGTTCCATCAAAAATATTCTAGCAGGATTCATTATAATGCCCATTACAACAATCATTTTGGGTTCATCTAGTACTGGTACATACATATCTGTTTATCAGAGCAAAAAAAAAAACCCAACCCATTAGTTGGTATTATGGGCTAGTGGATCAGCTCGTATGAACTGACTGCATCAGCTGTGGAGGTAGCTATTTTTGTCTTATTAATATTTGTAATATATTGTTGTTTGCTGTGAGAGATACCGTTAGCATTAAGGAAAGGCTTTTTTTGTTACTAATACCTCAACATTATTTGCTTTTATCTAAGCTCTAGACATGAAAGTGCATCAAAATAAAATGTGCAATTATTACCCCTCTAATCAAATTCGTTATTTTATTGCCATATCATATATATAGTAGCCCAGTGTCTGAGAGTCTGTAACACCAAAATGCTAGCTGTTCCCTCTGGGCGGCGCTGTTGCCTGAGTCACGTCCTTCGCCTCCTGCCGTGGCGCTCAGCTGACTTCTGCACCGCTCAGCCGGGCTGTCGCGGGGGAGCAAGCAGTGCAAGCGGCCATTTGGGCGCTGCAGTCCCCATGCAGCACGGGAGCACAGAGCCCAACGGCCGTTTGGGCGCCGCAGTCCCCCCGAGTGAAAGGCAAGAGGGGGAGGAGAAGAGAAAGAGAGACAGAGAGCGGGGGAGGCAGTAGGAGGAGGAAGAGAGAGAGACAGAACGAGACCGGAGGCTCAGGAGAGAAGACTGATGTGGAGGAGAGACCTGAAAATCCCATCTTATGACGGGCTAATTGGCTAGTTGAAAAAGAAAACTAGAGAGAGCATAATGGATCATGTTCTCTGCTGTTTTCTGAAATTGGACCAGCAAGCTCTCTAGATCTAGCCATTTGTAGCCAATGACGTATAAGGGGATCACTTGCTAGGGTGCATCATATGCAACAGTTACTAATTTAATTGTTTTAAGTTTAACCCTGATAAAAAGAGCCAAATTATTTCTGTTCTGGAAGAGAGAAAGCACTGCTCAAGAGAAAGAAAATCCGAAGATTATCAGCCATGTCCTAATTCATTCTTATACACTGATGATAAAGGAACATCACAGTTGGCTATATCTCAATGACTGAACTTCAAGTCAGACCTAATGTTCTTCATGTTAAGTGTTAGTAGCAAAAGTAAGCTCTAAGAGGTAAATTTACCCAACTTCTAAAACTTGTATGCTATTGTTATGAGAGTAAGTATCTTTTAAATATATATAGTGTGTGTGCACACGTGCAGATATATACAGGCAGTCCCTGAGTTACGCGGATCCGCACTTACGAACGGGGCTTTTCTCGCCCCGGAACTCGTGGGAGGCGGGACCACCCAGACGCACAGCGTCCTCCGGGGCGAGAAAAGCTGCTCCGGGTGTCCCTGGTCTGCTGGGGGGATAGGGACACCCCGAGCAAAGCTTTGGAAGCGGCGGGGTCCCGCGCCTCTGTGGCTTTGCTCCGGAGCAAAGCCTTGGAGGCGCGGGACCCCACCGCCCCCGCGGCTTTGCTCCGGGTCTCCCTGGTCTGGGGGGGGGGGGGGCACCCCCCCGAGCAGACCAGGCTTTTGTTGTGGACACCTGGGGTAGAGCAGCTGGGGTGCTGCCGGGTTGGTCCTGGGAGGACCTACCCGGCAGCACCCCAGCTGTTCTGTCCCAGGCTCCAGATTCAGCCGCTGTTGAAACTGATCAGTGGCTGATTCCAGGAAGCTGGGGCAGAGCAACTTTGCCTTGGGCTTCCTGTAGTCAGCCTCTGGTCAGTTTCAGCAGCAGCGGCTCAATCTGGAGCCAGTTCCGACTTACGTACAAATTCAACTTAAGAACAAACCTATAGTCCCTATCTTGTACGTAACCCGGGGACTGCCTGTAGTAAAAAGGTATGCTTACATTTAATGTTGTCAGCCTGCATTGATTCACAATGGTGGACATTAATTTAAACTTATTTTTTAAAACATAATATAGGTCACAGAACTTTCAATGGGAGAACTTCTGATGTACTCTGCTGTTTCCTGGTTGAATCCTTTTCCATCACTGGGCAAAGCAAGAAAAGACCTTGAACTTACAGTGTTTGGTTAGTGTCCTATTAAGAGACAACCTTAAAGATATTCAGTACATCTTCTTGCTAGTAGTATATGACAACTTATATTTTACTAATCAGATTAACTAAAATGTAAGCCCTGCTACAGTCATGGTCCTGTAAATGATCAAGGTCTAGATATCTGAAACTGAGATTAGTAATATAATCACTAACTTCTCTGTGATGGCTTTTCCCTCTGCCTGCTCTACTATCACCAAAGTCCTTGTCTCATCTCTACAAACATTACCACTATCTGCATGCACCTACGTGGGTTGAAGACAGTGAATAACTTCCTGAGGGTTTGAGTTACTCATTCATTTAGCTGATGACCTTGAATTTCAAGGTTTCATTTAGACACATAATTTATGTAGGAACTGAGGAGGAGCTAAAAATTGTTTAACATGCCAGCTTGTGGTAGCCTTTAGGGCACTTGGACATTTGTTTGAAACTAAAGCACATACAGAAGGAAGTACTGTTTGTCTACAGATTAACACAGTTGGATTTATTAGTGATTTTTTTTTTTCATAGTGACCATGTGAGACCAAGCGCTGGGTGTTCCCAAACACTATCCCTAAAGAAAGATGTCTGAGTGATATGTAGAGAGGCTGGATTGTCTTCTAGTCAGAGTAATAACCTGCAACTTAGGAAACCTGGCTTCAATTCCCCATCTCCACCACAGACATTTCCTAGTGACCATAGGTGACTCACTAAATGCCTCAGTTCTGCATCTGCAAAATGGAGATAACAGCATTTCCCTACCTCATGGAGGCACTGTAAGGCTAGATATATTACAGTGTGAGGCACTCAGACCCTATGGCAATACTACAGATAGTCAAGAATTTTGAGAGCTCTGAGGTTTCGCATTTCAAAGGAAATGCTGAACTGCATCAAAGAAGAAATTTGACATCTATAATGGGCCTCTTCTTTCTGCAACATTTTCCTTCCCCTCAAGGGAAGTTGCTGGCTCATCGCTTTTTCACAATAATGTTTTCAATTTATACAAGTACATATAAGGCCAATTTCTGTAATCTTGATACCGGGAAATAAGCTTTCTAAAAGAATTAGGGATGAGCAATATTGTTAAAAAAGTAGTTTTGTGAACAAGTCACACTTAAGCAGATGCTATGGGAATTTTTGTATGTGTGTGTGTTGGTAGATTGTTAAAAAGTACCCCGTAGATTGTAGTTAACTGGAAATAACTTCAGTCAGTCAGTATAACCATCAGATCTGTTTTGTTGAATACTAGACCTACAATCAGAAGCATCTTATTCTTTCTTTTCAGTTTTTAAGAGGGCTGTCATACTGGTATATAAGGAGAACTGCAAACTGAAAAAGAAAGTGGTAAGTCTGACAAGAACTCCAAGCTATAGATATTTGTGTATGGGATCATAGAGTTTGACAGATGGAACCACCAGGTCATCTAGGGTCACTACTTTGATTCAAAAGTGAACATGTGAACACTAAAGGAAAAGTGAGTGGTACACACTGCTGGTTTAATGCAATGAGATCACAGTGGTCTGGATATTGCAACAGATTGCATTACTGAGTCAATAAGCAGAACATTTCTGTGTGAACTAATGCTCCAGGAGGATGCTGAGAGGGGATTTCTGCCAGATATGAGATCAAACTTAAACATTTGGGAATCATTAAAGAATCCAGGAGACTTCTCATTAACCTGCATATTTTGGCATAATTCAAACTCAATTATTTAGCAATTACGTCACCTCTTCCTCTGGTACTAGTTGAATACAGCATTCTTTACTTTCTGTCTTAAACTGGGGGAACCACGTGGCTAAAGCTATTCCTGTGTACACCACATCTTTCATTCCAGAGTGAACTGTCATGTGAAAAGGTAACATACAGGCAGTCCCCGGGTTTACGTACAAGATAGGGACTGTAGGTTTGTTCTTAAGTTGAATTTGTATGTAAGTCGGAACTGGTACATATTGTAGGGGAAACTCTAGCCAAACATTTCTCCAAAGCTCAGTTTTATTCTCCCACACCTCACTTCCCTCAGTCCTTTATTCTCAAGCTGAGGTGTCTGCTGAGAAAAGCCGCTCCGGGTCTCCCTGGTCTGCTGGGGGGAGGGGCACTAGCTTCGCGTCTCCCTGGTCTGCTCGGGGGAAGCAGCTAGTGCGTGGTTGCCTCACCCCGTTTGTAAGTAGGGATCCGATGTAAGTCGGATCCATGTAACCTGGGGACTGCCTGTACTTATTTAATTGGGCTGGCTAAAACAATTTTCAAGTTTATAGCTAAGTGTCATATTTTATACATTGCAATTACTTGAAATACCCTCAACTCTCTACTCCTAGGAGGTCACAAGGAGACAACTCAAATAACTTGAGTTGAAATAACTTGCAGAGATTGATACACAATAAGCAGTTAAATCCCAAAAGAAATGTGCTATGCCTCAGTTTGCATAGTAGGGTTTTCTGTCCCTGTGAATAAGCTAATTGCACAGAAAGGAGATGATGTGGAGCATCAGTGTAATATGCTTATGCTATGAGAGATGTAAACAATTGTAATAAAAGGAACAAGTATAGCAGCGTTGTCACCTGAAGAATTTGTTTGGCTAAATAAGTAGTTGGCTTACTCATAGTGAATTTGCTCCATTTGTTTATTTCATGTGAAAATATGCAATTTCAAAAACTAATTTTTCAAATGTGCAGTATTCAGTATTTCTCAGATCTCACTGTGTTTTATAGTCAAACTAACAGTAATGTATTCAAGGAGCAACAATATTCAACTAAAATTCTCTGTTACAAGTAAGTTCTTGGACAGAAGGCCATTTTATCGAGAACACTGATACCAATGCAGACCTATTATATTGCTTTAGCTCATTTAGAAAAAGAATCAAGATGTATTTTTTTATTTGTAGCCCAATAATGCACGGGCTGCACATAATTATGGTGACTTGGATCCATTTAAATTTCGTTGGCTAATTCCTTTATCTGCTCTTCAAGTCCGACTGGGGAATACAGCAGGTAATTATATATTTCTTAATACATTAGATGTCTACATATTGCTTCCTGAAGTCTTGTGAACAATCAGACATTTCCTGGTATAGACTGTAGGAGGACATTTTTATTTGATACTACGTTTATCTGGCTACCTATGTATAAACTAACACCTTACAGCAGCATGTGCTTGTAAGGACTATACACTAATAGATATTTTCATCAGAGACTCTGTTGTCACACCTCATTTTCTTCCCTTCTGTAATCAGAGAACAAGCTCAAGCATAAAGGACGTTAAACTCAACCTGAAGTTGACTTGTCAGGGTAACATCTCTATGTAACGACAAACTGAGAATAGAACTGCAACAAGTTAGGATTAACATGGCAAAACAGAAACTCACAACAAAACTGTAGAGAAAAATTTGAAGGGGCTAGTCAAAGCAACCTTGAGAATATGGGCCAAATTCTAGCATATTTGGTACCCAGCATAATACCACTACTGTCCAGGGGTGGCAAGGAATATAATTAAAATGCAGCATGAGAGAAAGAACTGTGTAGTGATTAGTTTGCTAGCCAGAGATCTGGGTTCCATTCTCTGCTCCATCACAGACTTCTTTTGTGACCTCAGGCATTTATGGTAGAACTTCCAAAAGCACTTAGGTGCCTACCTTCCCTAAAATAAATGGAAATTAGGTGACTAGATACTTTACAAAAACCCATGATTACTCTCCGTGCCTCGGTTCACCCTGTGGAAGCACAGGGATAATAGGGAATTGCTATCTCAAAGGGGGGTGTGAGGACTAATATATTAACAACTGCGAAGGGCTATGGTGATGGAGGCTGTGTAAGTGCTTCAGGTATGAGACTTAAATTAGTTTATGAAAGAGCCCCAGTTGATATAGCTGAGCTGAATTATGTGAGAAACTAATAGCTGAGCAGGAGAGGAATAAAGCAGAAACAGAAGCAAAGAGAAGCCTGCCTATTGCAAGGACTAGCCCAGTGTTGCCATTGGAGGTTCAAGATCCTCAGTTGTGTGTAAGGTTGGAAAATTCCTAACAATCAGACTTCACGGGTCTGGTAGGCTGGGTTTTGAGGCTTCAGAAATAATGGGAAACATTAACATGTTTGTTGGAATGAGTCCCAGAAAGGAAGACCCTGGAAAGGTGGTTGAGTTTTTGAAGACATGTTGTAAGTTGTAACATTTGGCACTCTTCATTCGGGACGTGAAAGGTTAACCCGTTAACTGGATAAGGGGTAATGCTTACTGGTTCTGGCTCTGTTGGGGTAGGTCAGAGCAACCCTCGTCTGTGGCAGGCCCAGCTCCCCTACTCTCCACAGGTTACACGCTGGCTTCCTAGGACTGGGGCTAGTGTCAGGTACTGCCAACCCCACCTCCTGGGGAGCCGGCTGCAGAGCCTGCAGTGTGTAACCATGTAACTGCTAAGATTTTTAGCAGTTAATGCAATTTCATTTTTAAACAATTTTTTTTACATACATACTCTTCATAGGGTTCTAGCTCCTCTCAAACCCATCATGCAGATTTCCACAACTTTTCGATGAACATTGTCTTGGTGAGAAGCTCAGCCTTTAATGAGGTTTATGTAGTCTGAAAACATGCATTATTCAATATTTTTTCTATTTCTAGGAACAGAAAACAATTGCATCTGGGAACTGATTCACACAAAGTCAGAAGTAGAAGGCAGGCCTGAAACAATCTTTCAGTTGTGCAGCAGGTGAACTTAACGTGAAGATTATCTGACAAAATTATACTAATGGAATGACAAAACTACATTGAGAACATTTTATTTTTCTGAGTGACCTTTTTTCCTGTCTCTCAGCACTCCTAAAACACCCATCATCTCAAATCCAGGCACTGAGCCACTGTTTAACTGGATGGAATTTGATGTGCAGAAAACATCTGATATTAAAGTAAATTTGGCTCAGTCCTTCATTGTCAGGAACACAGAGAATTATGTCTGGTGCAAACAACAGCTAGCTCCATAAAGGATTTAGGCACCTTAAGTGGCATGTGGGAGTTTAAGTCCAAGGGTGCGTCTAGACTACACCCCTCTGTAGGCAGAGGGATGTAAATGAAATGTTTCAAAAGTGCAAATGAAGCCAGGATTTTGAATGTACAGGATCTTTCGAAAAATTGCCCCGCTGTCGAAAAAAAAAACGTATCTAAGCTGCAGTTTCAGTTTCGAAATAGCACTTGTTCGAAACAGCGCCATGACGTGATTATGCAAATGAAGCTTCATTTGCACTTTCAAAGTGCTTCCTTTACATCCCTCTGCCAACAGAGGGGTGTAGTTTAGATGTAGCCCAAAATTCAGATCCTCAAAATCCCTGCTCAAATGACACTTAATGTTCTTAGACACTCAATTGTCAGCTGCTTCAGTCCCCTTGGGCATCCACATAGCTGCCTCTTATGCCTAAACCTAGTCCTCAAACTAGGAGTCATGCCTATCTCCCCTGCAGTGCTCAGAGCATGCCTACCTGAGTGGGTCTTGTATAAAACACAAAGCTGCTGAAATGAGGTCACCCCATGTAGCCTTTAGCCAAATGGCTAGCACACTCACCCAGACTGTGGGAGACCCAGGTTCAGATTTCCTCCAACTGCCTGATGCACCAGTGAGCTATTGGGTATTCTGGTAGGACTTCTTCAGTCTTCCTATTGAAGATGGTCCATTTCTTATAAATAAATAGCACCAGCCTTCTGTAGCAGAATAAGGCAGCTTCTTAATGGAAAGACTGGTTGGGCATGGGAAAATAAAATAATGACAGTGACCTATAATCTGTCCTATTGTTGCTGTTTCTTAAATGTTGCAGTGACTGTGAGGGCAAGACTAACATCGTTAAGGTGATTCGCTCCATTCTGCGGGAGAACTTCAGACGTCACATAAAATGTGAATCACCACTGGAGAAAACATGTAAAGATCGCCTAGTTCCACTCAAGAACCGTATCCCTGTTTCAGCCAAATTGGGTAAGTGTCAGTTTGCTATAGTGGGAAACACAGACTGGCAGGTTAATGGTGATTAGCATGACCTAAACCTCTTCTCTTTCCAGACATGAAGGGGGTGGTGTCTTTTTAGTATAATTTGTTTTAAAATACCAATGTACTTATTGGTAGAGAGGCTTTATATTAAAAGTGCCAGTTATCCCATATTCTTCTTGAGAAACAGCCTGTCCAGAGGCCTAAAGCCTCAGTTTCCAAATAGACTGCCCCACTGGCAGAACTATATTTCAGAGTTGGGCAACTCCAGAACAGAGAGTAGTTATGAAATGTTAATAACCGTCCTGAGAGAGTAGTTATCCAGCCAGTTATGCACCCACCTTATAATAGCCCCATCTAAGTTGTATTTGCCTTAGCTTGTGAAACCCGAAATCTTCTAGAAAATCCCAGCTCTTATTACTAATCCCATAGCATCCCTTCTGTCATGGATTTGTAAAGAACAAATCATGTCAAACCAATCTGATAGCTTTCTTTGATGATAGGACAACAAGTCTTATGGATAAGGGAGAAGCAGTGGACATGGTATACTTAAGACTTTAGTAGGGCATTTGATACAGGCAGTCCCTGGGTTACGTACAAGATAGGGACTGTAGGTTTGTTCTTAAGTTGAATCTGTATGTAAGTCGGAACTGGCATCCAGATTCAGCCGCTGCTGAAACTGACCGCCAG